CAGTAGGATGTGATTCTTATTCATCATGAATAACCCTGTTATTCATCATGAATGTCATTTATTTTCATGATGTATATTAGTCATCATGAACTTCAATATCAGTAGGATGTGATTCTTATTCATCATGAATAACCCTGTTATTCATCATGAATGTCATTTATTATCATAATGTGTATTAGTCATCATGAACATCTATCAATAAATTCGTCGTGAATAAAGCAAGAATAGTTGGTTCCACGTTCTCAAATATTTACGGTATTCATTTGAACCTGGTGTATTTTGTTACCGATATTGAATTCATAAACTGCTGAAACTGAAAAAACCCAACTCAAATTTACCTTAGATGTAGAACAATCTTTCGGATCCGCTTGCTGAACTACATTCATCGGTCTGTTGCCAGATTGAACAAGCGAAGAACTCATCCAAACATTTGACTTCAATCCTTCCCGCATATCCTCCACGGATAAATCTCGATCTTTATCAGCAATGCTCATTAACCCGATTCCCTGCTCACAAGTGGAATCGATAACAGACGGAGAATCCGACATAAACGACCAAATAGAAGACAGCTCTACAGCCGAAGGGCAGCCAGAATAGCAATTCAGAGTCTGCCTACTATGCCTACTAATAGCGGAATTCGACACATTGTGACCCTCCCAATCACAATTCTGACAAAGCGATAGCTTTTCATCAACACATCTAACAACCGCCGGTTGCGAATTGCACCTATCGCAAACCAGCGTTCTAGAATGGCGTTTCGAGAGGGCATTTGCAGAATGAACATTTCGGTCACACGATAAACACAAATAGGCCTCATCCGATCGACAATAGACCATCGATCTTGCCTCACGACAGTAATCACAACTGTAACCCATTTTCTTGAAAACCCCTCCAAAACAAGATTCTTGATCTCTTTCTAGATGGTTGAATTCATGAAATCTTCTAAAAACAGTTAGATTCCTATATGAACAAGATCTAGAAAAGCTGGAAACTTGGATGACCCTTCTTCTAAGATGAAGCAATCTGCATCAAACAAGATGAACCAGAAACAGAATAGGGATTAGAAATCTTCACCATTTCACCAAAAAGCAGGAAACCTATTGATTCTAAACATGTTCTACAACAGTATTTGGTAAGGCTCAAATCAAGAACAATCTAGGAAACACAAAAAGGTTTTCAGCAATAGAAACATCATTCAACAAGCCCAGAAACAAGATTGAAAAAGGGTTTCTGAATCTATGATTCAAACAAAATTTGAAGAATTCAAGGACCTTGGAGATATGTCTGTAGAATAAATATCAAGAAACAGTAAAAAAGGAAGTGTAGAAGATGAAGTTAGAAGAAAAAACGAAAACTTTGTTGAATCCCAGATGGAATTTCCAGTAAAACTATGACAAGAATCAGAAGAAAACCAGGGGGAGATAGAAAAAGACTAGAAATTGACCAAAATAATTGGGGATTTTTTCCATAAAAAGAGCGTTGTAATCAATGAATCAAAACCCAGAAATGGATTAAGAAGACCAATCCCAGTAAAACCCATTTTGGTAGAGCAAAAACAAGCAAAACCCAGAGAAATCTTACCAAGTATGTAAAGAAAGATGGATAGAATCAAAGCAAATAGGGTTTCTTTTCAGCTTTCAAAACCCTAAAAGATGAGAAATTTCAAGATTTCCCTTTTCTTGTTAATATCTCTGTGTGTTGTGAGGTAGGTGTTGGTCTACTGTTGTTGTGCAAGATATCTGACAGCACAAATACCAAAAGAAAATATCACAAAAAGGGTAAAAAGTGCAAAAGGGG